GTCGTATTGCATGCTTCTTTGGGTTCCTGGTTGGTCTCGTCTACAACCTGGGTCAACGACTCTTTGAGTTTAACACGGAAGAGCTTCCTAAAAGCCCATCCACTATGGGTCGGCTTCAGGTGTTGCTTCCGTGTCGCGCCAATGGTATACCCAATATACTTGTGGAGGCTAAGGGACTCCTCGTCGAGAACGTTCCACTCTCGCACCTGGGACGCAGCGGAATTCGACGCAAAGGTTAGGTCGAGGTGGGATTCCGAGGCGCCTCTCACGAAAGTCGGCGCATTGCCCCGGTTGCATGTAGTTAGTCCTAGGGACGCAGTGAGGTCGGCCAACGCTTTTCCTCTGGCGTCCTCGCTGGGGCTGCCCCATTCCTGTGACTTTGAATTGAAGTCACTGGCAACAATGACTGGGCACAGCGCTTCCCTGACACTGGATTCAAGTCTCCTCAAGAACGTCTCGAACTCGGTGAATAGTACATTGGGGGAGCAATAACAACTGTACAGGCGGAAGCCATTCATTTCGATCCACCTGAAGCCTGGCAGACGTGGCCCGATTGTGTCGAGTTGGTGCCTTCCCAAGACCACAACAGCCGCCCTTCCGCTCGCATCTGCGTACCATCCGTCATTCTCGTCCTTATCCCGGTACTGTTCGCTTATAACTAGGAGGTCTATCGCCTTCGCATTGGCAGATGCCATTGCAAGGTCCTGCGCCGCTCTGCACACTCCAATGTTAATTTGGAGGATGCTGGTCATTGCGAGACTACTGGCTCTCCTCTCTGTCCAACAGCCGCGGCGTGGCTGGCGCCGTTGCCTTCTAACAGCCCGGCAAACTCCTTTGCCGCTGCGCTTGAAGCGTCACATTTCACAGCTCTGTGGCCACGATCGCCGCAGCGCCTGCAACATTGACTCCTGTCGGGGCCACTGCACTGGCCAGCCATATGGCCAGGCCGGAGACAGCGGAAACATCTAACCCTGCCTCGGTCTTCCCAGATGCGTACACGGCAGTTGACGTAGCCTACTCTTAGTTTACCCGCAGATAGTACACGGTTTACGGTTGTCGCTGGGATTGACACGATGACCCATTTTTGTCCTCTTAGCTGCTCCATGGTTGAATTAACCTTAACCTCCTCGAGATTTGTATCTGCTAGACTGCAGATAGCTTCTACTACCTCTTCTGGGGACGCTAGCTCATCGAGGTCTTGTACCACGATTTTTGAGAATTGTGCCATTTCCTTCACCCGTTCGCGGTCGCCTACCGCTACTCCTAACGCCTTGGCCATAGGGGCTGTTCCTGCCTCGCCGGGTGTGAAGCGCACGAGCTGGTTGCCATCCTTGGTTTTCGTTAGCGCTGTAATTGAATCTGCAATTTTCTTCACCGATTCGCTTTCTTTTACTCTTTTGAGCACCTCCGTGTATTCGCCCTCCTTGGCTCGAACCAGGAACGCTGGTGGCTTCTTCTTCGTAGTGAAACGTTTCTGGGAAAATTTACTAGCTCGGCCTGGGCCCTGTTCGGCTCTTATTTTGGGTAGAGCGGGCCTCCGCTTTACCACCTCCGTCCACTGCCCGGAGTGTACTTCCCGACTTGCCCGAGCAGTTTCCGCTGGATTGGTAGCTGCACTGGCCACCAGTGATTTTATGATTTCGCCCTGTTCCGATAACTTGGAGTTGATCTCCCGGATTTCTGCAAGGACAGGCGCGGCTATGTCCGTCGTGCCCGCTGCTGTCGCGAAGGGCGACGCGTCCCTTGCCTGCTCGTCCAGCAGTACTGTTACTTGCTGGCGTACCTTCCGAGCGCTGGATGCCTGCTTAAAAACAGTTACAGCCTCGGCAAGTGCAGCCTGGACCGGTTTTGCAACATTCTTGGAATCGCGTACTGCCTCGAGCATCGTGAAGAGCCTCCAGCCAACTCTCTCAAAGCACTCACTCTCTCCGCCTTGTCTTTAGTCGCCATTATCTCCCGGAGCTGATCGTTTAATTTGCCCGTTAGTTTAACCGTCTGTGCCGCCTGGTTGCTGTCGCCGCTGGCGATCAGTTTGTCGGCCAAAGTTGTCCTACCTTGATCCGCGCCTGGAGCGGGAGCAGTTGCCTCGGTGGCTTTCCGGCCACTGGAGAGGGCCTGTTTTGCACCCTCTCTGGCAGTTGCATTACCAGCTCCGTTGCTGGCGGTAGAAGCCTGCCTCAGCACTTCTACGCTTTTAGTGCTTACGGGTGATGACGACACCTGGGGCGAGCACCGTCCCCCAACCGCCGGCTCTGGGGTTTCCGAAGCCCCTGTAGCAGTAACATCACGATTTCTGGTTGTACTCATCATTCTGTATGTTTGTTTTGGCTGGGCTTCCACTGACGACACCAGCCTCGCGTCGCCTGTCTGTTTTCGGTCGATTGCCGGATCTTCCGAGACACCGGGGGTCGATCGTTCCCCCGGTGGTGAGCTTGTCCGCGACCGCTTATTCGACCAATCCCGAAGGGTATGGCTTATTTCGCGGCTACCCTACATATCTGTAGGGCTTTCCCCTATCCGCAACCTGGGGACGCGCTCGGTGGCATGCTCGTGCAGCCGGGAACCTTTTTTTTTTTTTTTTGTATAACCAGTCACTGAGAGGGAACCGCGTGAGCAATACTTCCTCCCAGTCACTATCGTTTATTTAAAAATAAATAACAATTACCAATGCTTGAAAACGAATAGGACAGTCCCCCATTCGTAAATCAATCACAATATTATAACATCAATTTATTGAGAGGCTCTATCCTCCCTACTTTGACCTTCGGTCTACATTAAACACTAACAACTATTTGGTTACTTAGTTACTGACTTTTCCTTCATAGGGGTGCCCTTTGTCGACGTCGCTCCTCCGCTTCTCGCTCCTTCATAATTCTTCCGACCATGTTTGAGATTTTTGTCCAATTATATTCGGATTGCAGCATGGTTGCTACTATGTTTGATGTAGTGAGCTCGCCAATACCTAAATATATACAAACTTCGCTCCTCCACCTATCCCATGCGTCGCAGACCAGGACAGCGTGTTCTGCGTCGTCAGTCCCCTGTCCACAGATCGGACACATGTCGGTGTCTGACCGGTTAAATCGTTTTAAGTATGCCCGGAAGCAGCCGTGACCGGTCAAGAACTGAGTCATGTGGAAACTGACGTTGCCATGATTCCTGTTACTCCATGTTTTCACATCCGGAATCAATCGGTATGTCCATCGCCCATCGAGTGCAGCTTCCCATTTTCTTTGCCATTTAGTTATAGTTTCGGCACGGGCGTGTTGTCGTGTCGACCCTCTTCGTATACTCCTTCGCTCTTCTGCCAAAAGGTGGAGTGGTGGTGTGGAAGCTATAACCGCCAGGGCTGTGTATGACGCAGTCCTATAGCCGCATACCATACGGAGTAGTGTCCTTCTGTGTACCGCCTCAAGCTTGCATATTGCCTTCGTTGCTGCTGTTTCTACCCAGAAAGATGCAGCATACAAGAGAATTGACTCAACTACACCGGCTAGCAATCGTCTCTTCGGTTCACTCGCTCCACCGAGGTTGGGGAGGATGATACTCAGCTGTTTGGTGACTTTGGAAGCTCTTTCTGCAACCAGAGCGGCGTGTTCCTTGAACTTCAGCTTGGAATCAAGCTGCACACCAAGGTATCGGATGCTCCTTGCCGACGGTATATCATGGCCTGCCAAGTTTAAGTTCATCGTGTTGTTTATCTTCCTGTTGGTGAACATGACTGCCTCCGTTTTTTCTACCGCGAGACACAGACCGTGTTCACTCATCCATTCGATAACCCTACTGAATGCTTCTTCTAGCTGCTCTTCGGCTTCTTTGTTCGTTTTTGCAGTAGCCACAATAGCAACATCGTCAGCGAAAGCTAAGAGTTCGATGCCATGGGTCGTGTTCAACCTCAGCGCACAGTTCTACCCAACGCTTAGACTTGGCAGTTTTTATAGCCAGAACCAGCCGTTTTTTGGCGTCCTTGTATGCTGAAGCTTCAACCACACATTCCTCTTCAGTGGCTCTCTTCCTTCTACGCAGGTAAATCCTACGCAGCCTGAGACACTCTGCCCTAACCGTGGATATGCTTTCAGACCACCATGGCACTGGCTTGCGTTTAGGATTTCCCCTAGTGCGTGGCATGCAGGAATCAGAAATACAAGTCAAACGGCAGATCAACTCCTTTGCCTTGGCCTCAATTGGACTACCTGATCTGTCGTCGTTACGTAGTTGTAGTTCCCGTGAGGCTGCTTCTTGTAATTTATCAGTGTTTAGCTTGAAGATAGACCATCTAGTCTCATTACTTACATCAGCGTTGGGTCGCTGCCTGTTGAGCTCAAACCAAATGTACCTGTGGAGGCTGTGGGATTCCTCGTCAACGACTCTCCAGCCATGCATTTCACCAATTAAAACCTCCGACACAAACGTGACATCGATATGTGTTCCCGATGCGCCTCTAACGAACGTCGGCAGGTTGCCGCGATTGCACACATACAGATTTAGCGAGTATATGGTATCTGCTAGAATAGAGCCTCTTTGATTTTCGTCTGGGCTTCCCCACTCGGGACTGTGGGAGTTGAAGTCGCCGGCAACAATTACCGGCACCGAAGATGTCCTCACGCTGGACTGGAGTCTGTCGATGTAGTCCGCGAATTCGTTAATTGTGCTGTTTGGTGACCAGTAACAGCTATAGATCCTAATGCCCATGGTCTCTACCCACCGAAATCCGTTGTCAGTACTAGGGCCAATCAAATCGAGTGCTAGTGAGTCTCGCATGACAATTACGGCGGCCTTGCATCCTGAATCACTGAATTGTCCGTCTTCATCGGAGGAAATCCTATATTGCTCGCTGACAAGTACAAAATCGACTTCCATCTTTGCTGCAGTTACATACATCAGGTCCTGTGCAGCGCGACATCCTCCGATGTTAATCTGCAGAAATTTAATCATTTCTGATTTGTGTCTCCTCAATGTCTCCTGATACTTCTGCGGTCGAACCGTAGGTGATAGGAGCTTCAATATTTATCACCAGATTTTTTTCCACCAGTAATTCGCCCGGGTTTCCAGGTGGATTCCTTCTGGAGTAGTCTCCTAAAGACTTCCACCGCTTCTTGGTCGGCATCACACTTTGCTGCGAAGTGCCCGTCTCTTCCACATTTACGACAGCATTTCTCCCTGCTGGGACCCGCACAATTTCGAGATTCATGCCCTGCGACTAGGCACCTATAACACTTAACTCGTTTTTCGCAAATTCTTGCTTCACAGTATACCATGCCAACTTTTAAGCGGCCTACTGTTACGATTTGATCGGCTATAGATTGTCGGACCAAGACAATCGCTGCGAGTACTCCTCCGTAAATTTTCCTAATGTTTATCACATTGACGTCTCCATGACTCACTTTGTGTGCACATACTATTGCTTGGACTACGTCTTCCTTGTCAGACCAGCTCGTTATACCCTTTATCTCAAGCAGGCACCTTTGAGACAAGGTTCGGATGCTTGCGCCTTCACCCGCAGCTTTGGTGATTTCGGTCTTGACTGCTTCTACCGTTGTTGCATCACCACTGATTTCTATCAGCATAGCGCCTTGTCTGGTTTGTCGCATAGCTACTATTTTGTTTCCTATCACCTGCTGGTCTACATCTTTGCTGATTTTTTTCACCAGTGCAGGGAAGTCCTCAGGTTTTGAGTCCACCACGATTGCGGGGTTCCGTTTTTTGGTCTTTTTCCTTCCACCAACCTTATATGTTGTGGGAACCTCTTCTGGCGCTGGCTGATTCTTTTGATTCTTTGATTTTCTAACCACGTCCGTCCATTCCGTTTTCATCGTTTTCAGCGTTATCTTTTCCAGAGACTCGCCTACTCTCTTCTCGAAAGTATCCATTCTTCGGTTAAGGTCGTGGAAACCTTTTGCCACGTCCGCCATCAAGGAAGATCTGTCCTCGGAACGAAAAGGGTCAAGAGTCTGTACCTGGCATTGAGTGGCTTGTATTTCCTTGAGTATATCAAGCGACTTTTGTTGTTGTAGTTGTTGCTGTTTTAGGCACTTCTCAACCTAACCTAACCTAACCTAACCCCAGGGAAGCGACCTATCACCTATACTCTATAATATCTACACATCAGATATACCCAAAACAAACCATACTACCCTAGCGACATACGCAGATGATACCGCTATACTAGCATCAAACAACGACCCTAACATAGCCACCCACAATATACAATACCACTTAAATCTAATCTCCAATTTGACTCAAAAATGGAAAATTAAAATAAATGAAAACAAATCAGTCCAAATAAATTTTTCTCTGAAAAAAAACGAATGTTCACAACTTTTTCTCAATAATTCACCAATTACTATCCAAAATGTAACTAAATACCTCGGAATTCATCTTGATAAAAGACTTACCTAGGCCTAACATACAAAACAGAAAATAAAACAATCAAACACACGTTTACATCTCCTACGTCCATTATTGTCTCCTTCAATGAATTTAAAAAACAAAATATTAATATATAAGACGATTATTACCCCCTCTGGTCATATGATATCCAAATCTGGGGCCAAGCCAAACCATCCAATATAAGACCCATTCAAGCTTTTCAATCTATATGTCTCAGACAAATAACTGGAGCCCCATTGTATATGACCAACGACGCATTACATAAAGATCTCCAAATCCCAACAGTCAACGATATAGCAACTCATCATTACAAAAAATTTCACTCCAAACTGCACTCGAACCAAAACCCCCTAATTTCCCGCATGTCCTCTATAACTATCCCTAACAATCCTCCGAGAAGGTTAAAAAGAAAATGGCCAAGAGACGCTCTTGCCTAACGGTCTCATTATGATATGAACCCATCAAATTAAATAGGAGGTACTGTTGATGGACGGTTTTCCCCCCTCAAGATATCCAAGACATTCAATTATTACTATTCATTGTTATCAAATTTACTTATTGTACAAAATGTATAGATTGTAAATATGCTTAAATAAATTAAAAAAAAAAAAAAAAAAAAAAAAAAAAGTAATACATAATATTATGTGATATAATATATCTAATATATAATATTAATCTATTATAAAATATTCCAGACCTTCAAGAATCACTATTCATATACAATGATTAATCATTATTAAAGCTTTAAATTATTAATTACGAAATTAATTTTGCATAATTATCTACTAGCTACTTGTATTAATACATTAGTAAAATTTTTAAAAAAATGGCGGTCAAGTAGATAACGCTCCGCTGTACAGTAGATTTTAACACGTTTGAAAAAAAAAATTTGAAAATTTTAAACTTTAAAAGCTTATAAAAAAAAATTGTGACTAACGATTTTTGATTTTTTTTAATTACAATAAAAACAAATTATAAGGAATCTTGTATTAAATTTTCAAGTTTTTTTTACCGACGTTTTAAAAAAAAAAGTCTTAGAAAAACCGAAAATTTTAGTTGTCTTTAAATAGGTAGATTAAAAAAAAGCCAGAATATTTTAAAAATTAAATCGTGCATAGATAATGCTAATATAAAAATAGTGAAAATTTTAAGTATTTACAGTGATTCATTTTTGAGTTACAATATAAAAAAATCAATTTTGTCGAAACTGGTTTTACGTAAAAATTCCCGTTTTTTCGTCACTTTAGTGGTCTTTTAATTTTTTAAACGTTTTTGAAAACTGTAGGAAAATTTTTACTTTTGAAATTCAAGCATTATTTCAACAAGTTATAGTACACAAACAAAAATAAACACACATTATTATAAATCAATAAATTCATAACTCCGTCCAGAATCTAAATATCTTTAAATACATGCTAAATATTTGTAATTATTTTGAATATTATTGACTAAAATATTTACCTTAAAGTTAATGCTAATTTTTCGTCGGCAGATATTGGTTCAGGTACTCGCATAGTTGGTTCCTTTGTAAGATATTTTTTGACCAATTATAAAATAAAATAAAATTGTTCTTTATTTATACGGAAAAATTCTCGAAATTTAGTATCATTATTAAAAAGATGTCCTTCGATCAATTGCTTAAAAAATCCTTCGGTTTTCCTCGTAGATACTATACTGTTAAATGCATTTCTCTGTTCGGGAATCATTCTTAAAAATAGTTCATCTTCAAAATCTCCTTCTTCTTTGAGTATCTCACAAATTATATTATTGTTGTTTAACACGTTGAACGCCAACGTCGATTTGACGTGCGCGCGCCCGTCGCCGCACGTCGATCTACATGCGGGTGCCTGTAGCCGCGCGTATAATTGGTATAATTTGCGCGTGTCAACACCGCGTTGACACCAGCCATGGGCGCCCGTTTTCAGTAATTTATAAAAGTAAGCAATTTCTAATTTTTTTTTTCAAATAACTACTCATAATACTTATATTCATAATCATAAATAAATTATTTTTATACTTTCAAAATATTTAAAACAAACAAATCAAAATATATTTTTACCTCAAAATTATACAATTTGTATAATTATAACACTGTATACAAAAAAATAAAGTAAAAACATAACTTTAAAAATATTTAAAAATAAAACAAAACATATCTTTTAGTTTGAAATTATACACTTGGTAAAATAATAACACTGTATACATAAATATAAAATAAGAACAAAACTTTAAAAATATTTTAAAAATAAAACAAAACATATATTTTACTTTTTATACCTAATAATAAAAATTAGTACGTAAAATAATAATGAAACTTATAATGTTTTATAAAACAAATCAAAACTAACTAGATTATGCGTGATAAATTTCAAAACAGTTTTCAATGCATAAACCAGGTTGACCTTCACAACTGGAACAGTAAAATGTTGTTTTTCGTATGCCTTTTGAATGGCACAGCTTGCATCTTTTTCTATAAAAATTTTTTTTTTCGTTTTTTGCAACTTTTGTAGGAAAGTGCGAGTTTGTTTTTTTTGGTGGAAGTGCAGGAGGAATATTTGTGTTTATTTGACTTTTTACTAATGCTGTAATTACAGAAAGTCTAAAATCATACAGACTACATTTTTTACGTTTTCTACGTATATGTAGTAAGAATTTAGCAACAATAATTGAAAAAAATGAATTCCAATCTTTTCGTACCACCTTATTGTTTTCCTCTCGCATGAATAGTATGATAACATCTGGTCTTGTCTATCAATTCCTGACATATATTTATTGTACATAGAAATTGCCATCGGTTTCAATTTTTGTTCACCTCTTCTGTTGGTTACTTCAACTAAATCATTTGTGTGCTCAGAGCTTATTGCTAAAACTTCTCGTCTGTCTCGCCATTTCATTACACATACGCCTTCCTTTGTATACTTTCCAATACTTTCTCCTACTTTTAATTTTTTGAAGTTATTTCTTTAGGGTTCCCTTTTCTATTCGCACGCAAAGTTCCTGTACAATATGTTCCTTTACCTAGAAGTGTATTATGAGCTAGTTTCACGCTATTGTAATAGTTGTCCATGTGCAATGATCTGCCACAATCAATAAGGCCTTCCATTAATTTTACAACAACATATTCTGTATGAGTAAAGTCATTCGACGTGTCTTGCCCTTGTCCTGAGTATACCATAATTCTATGAACCAACCCACCAGATTCTATGAGCATATAAAGTTTGATACCATACTTATGGCGTTTATTTTTAATATATTGCCGGAAAACTAATCTACCCCGAAATAAAACCATTGACTCGTCGAGTGACAAATTTTCAGAAGCTTCATAAATATCTGTCATTTTATTATTAAAATATGTTACAATAATTGGTTCAATTTTATTCAGGCGATTATTGTCACGATATTCATTGTCAACAAAATGTAAATTTCTTAAAATTAACATAAAACGATTTCTGCTCATATATTGTCGAAAAAAAATAATATTGAATAACTCACTTGTCTTCCAATAATCTTCCAACCGATTGAGTCGTATAGATCCCGTATGAAACAGTAAACCTATAAACAGTTTCATTTCTTGTATATTTGTATCTTTCCACGCTGTAATTCGAGATGATGAACCTCCAGATCCAGATAAAAAAACTTGAACTGCATTTTTATTGGTTTCATTAACTATCAACTCGAAAAGTCTGTCGTCGAATAATAGATTAAAATAATCAATCGGCTCATTTCCTTGTGGAAAAACCTTCAATCCTTTGGATTTTGAAAAAGGGATACGTGTCACTATAGGTTGTCTATTACTTCATGTATAACCCGATGTAGAAGTAATAGGTACAGCTGATATAATCTCATTATCCTCTTCGGGTTGTACTATTGGAAGTAACCATTCTGGATCAGCATCATCATCACCAGAATCCCCTTCCCCTAAATCAGTACCAGAACTTAAGCCGAAATCATCATCTGAATTTTCCATCATACGTAATAATTCTTCGTCGGTCATTGGGTTGCCCATTTTTCTTAAAAAAAAATATTCAAGTTAGATAATATTTTACATTTTACGTAATTATACGACTAAAGAAGGTCATAAGTATTTATCGATAGTATATAATTATAATTTAATATTGTAAATAAACTCCAAAAATTTCGAAAAATTATTTATTTTTTTTTAAATATAAATTTATATATAATATTATAATTATATATATCTACTGTATGAAGATTATAATTGTATTAGTAGATATATTATAATATAACTATCCAAATGTGAAAATAATGTATGAACTTGTATAAAATAAAAATAAAACTTACCTTTTATTCATTTTTATTTCATATAACAGTATAAATTGTAAATAAAATATAAAAATGACGAAAAATTAAAACCAACTGTTCCTCGTAATAAACAATACACTAATGAATGGCCGACCAAAATTTCAAATGTGTACGGCTATAGCCGGCTTCACAAAGTCAAAATAACGGATAGGTTACCGCATGTCAACGACATGTTGACACCGGCTATGGGCGCGCGCTTACTTGTGTCAACGACGCATTGACATCGGCCACGGGCGCCCGTTTAATCGTGTCAACGACGCATTGACGTTGGCGTTTAACGTGTTAAAATTAATTGTCGATGCATCGTGATTGAAAGATTTGGAAAATAAATAAAGAAACTTACCAGCGTACTAGATCGCGGTTGCAAGCCCTATGATGGAATTTAAGAGAACACAATTTGATCAAAAAATTAGATATTATTGCGTCGAGACGCGTACTGAGAAAACGGGCGCGCGTTGCGTCTAAACGTTGCGTCTAGGAGTCTCGTTTTTCTGCGTTTGGACTCTGCGTCTGGACGCTGCAGGGAAAACGTACCTTAACACAAAAATAGATATTTTTTTAAAACATATTCATGTTTTTTCAAAAAAATTTAATTCCATGCAATACAAATAATAATAATTCTAAAAACATTATATAGGATGCGATCTGGTTAAAATAAAACAAAAATATATATATTTATTAATATATGTTAATTTATTTAATATTTTTTTTAAAAATCTCAAAACATTATTACACAAGTTTTCTTACTTCTCTAGTAAAAGGTACATATTCTACAATGCGATCATGAATTAATAAACAATAAGCAGTTACACCTGTAAGAGATTCTGACGCTTCGATTTCTAATTGAACATCTACTGATGAAGCCGTAGGTTATGGTCAGACTATACACGTCATCGGCCGAATTAACGTTCGGCCGAATATCGACGAAAACGTCAGAATAAAATAAAAGAATGAAATTAAACTGTACCGGTCACATTACATCCGATGAATACGGCCGTATACTGCCGATGCCGGACGAAAACAAAATATTTTGTTTTTTCCGACCGATTCGGCTGTAAATAGTTTAATTGAAATATTTAATTAATATGAAAGCATACAAATATAAGTAGGTATATTATTCATAATTTTCAAATTTATTTTCATTTTGGGAGTTTTAAAAAATAAAAAAAACTTATACAGTATTTATTTTTATAAAAACAAGTAATAATTGTAATATTGTAATTATTGTCATTTGCCGTTTGACATTTCTCTTGATCAGTACTCAGTAGTCAACGGTATATAATAAACTCAATTTGTTTTATTATTTAATATACCGTATATATTATACCCTAAATATGGTCAACTGTGAAAAGTTGATCAATTTAGTACATGAAAAAGAGCCTTTGTGGAACATTAAATAAAAATTTCACCATAACAGAGACGTTTGTAGAACGTTGTGGAACGATATATCGGTTGAAATGGGAGTCAAAAGTATGTATCAATATGTATTTATTTAATTATACATAACAACTGTAATTTATGATATATTCAATTTAATATTATAATTATTATAAAGTATTTTGTTGTACAATTTGTAAAATGTAAGTACATAGGTTCCATAGAAATAAGTATATTAGTATATTACCAACACCAACCTACACTATACTTATTAACTATAATTTACAATTTTTTTATATTCTGAAATCCTGAAAACTGACAGCACCAATATTATTAAAATAGTCTTTGAATTTATCTTGTATGTTATACGCTTCTTGTTTTGAACGATTGTTGCGTCTTGATGCATTACTGTGAACTAAATCTGGATTGGTTACGTTTTGGTTAATTTTTGAAATTAATGATTCGTCTACACCTTCTTGATCTTTAATGATATTATGAATCAAACAAATGAACTTAATGATTGTGTCAACATTATTTGGATCAATTTGTATTTCAGTTTCTAAACACCTCCATTTTGATACCAAAATACCAAAAGTGCATTCGATCATTCGTCTAGCGCGACTTAAGCGGTAGTTGAAAATTTCTTTTGTGTTGTCCAAATTATTATCAAAAGGATAAGGTCTCATTAGGTATTCTTTTAATGGGTATTCTTGATCACCCAATAATACAAATGGCATAGGTAAAGTTGAGTGAGGAAGTGTTTTTTTTGTGGTAAGTTAAATGTATTTTTTTTCAAATGCTCATAAATACTACACGCTGTAAAAATTCCACTATCACTTTGTCTTTCGTATGCTCCAACATCTATAGCAATGAATTTATATTGAGCATCGCATATTCCTTGTAAATGGACGGAAAAATAATTCTTATAATTATTATAGAACATAGAACCAGTGTTCTTTGGGCATTTTATACGAATATGCTTGCCGTCAATGCAGCCCACACAATTCGGAAAGTTCCATAGCGTCTCAAAGTCTTGAGCAATTTTGTAAAACATATCAGTAGTAGGGAATGGCATGTAAATGATAGCAAAAAGTTTCCAAATAATATTGCACGTATCGTAAATAATTTCTCCAATTGTATTATGAGCCCAGTGTCGGTCTGGCTTATGATTAGGCCCCCGGCACATTAATTTACAATGGGCCCTTATACAAAAAAAAAAAATAATAGTAATAATAATAATATACAAATTTAAAATAATACTTTTAATTCTATTTAATAATATTATAATAGGTACATAATAATATTTTTTAAAATAATAATCTCTTCAATTCTTGACTGGAAGATGCTAATTGATCAATTATTTCATCTTTTTTAATAAATTTGATTAAATCTTCTTCAACAAATAAAGACATTAGTGATTCAAGATGTTCTTGATTGATAGATGATCTTAGTTTTGTTTTTAAGATTTTAAATTTTGAAAACGTACGTTCACATGAAACTTGTGTACAAGGAAGAATCAAAACATATTTCATTGTTAAATATAAAGTATTAAACAAATCTGATTTTGATGTTATTTCATAAAGTATTTGAAAGACTTTAGGTAAGCAGTCACCACATTTTGGTTGTTTTAAACCAGCCACATCATCTTCTGTATCTATTGTTTCTCTTAAATTATATTCATAATATACAGATCTTGTTGTTGCAGCAAAGCTTGAATATTGTTCTGCAAATTGTTTTAATTCAACAAATAGTGTTTTCCTATCTACTCCAGCCAATTTAGATAGTTTATTTAATGAATTAGATGGAAGCTGTTCTAATGAAAGATTTACTATTTCCTTATATTTTGAAGGGCCCAACCAAGCAATATCCATCAACAGTTCTTTATTTGGTACAAATCTTTCACTAATAGATATTTTTACTGTATCTAGAATTTCAAAATATGTGGCTTGAGTTTTCTTAAAAGGAGATGAAGTTTTGACTTCGTCATTAGATAATTCTCCAGGTTTTTTTTTTTTTTACAGATATTTTTTTTGATACAAAATTATTTTGAAAATTCAATAATGGTTCATCTATAAAAAAAAAGTATTACGTTTTTGAGCAAATAGTTTACATTTATTATAAAGTTTAGTATAATGTTCCTCATTTCTTTTGTTACTGACAAGTTCCAATAAAGTTTCTACAGAACACCATGCTCTTAAATAATCCATCGAATCTGATTGTAAAAAACTTAGACACAGGAGATGTTATAGAAAACAAATCTAAAATAATTATACTTGCAAATAATGTATCAAACTGAGACCACTTTTCTAATAATGTACGAGCCATAAACTTGGTTTTACTATCAAATCTACCTTGAATTATTTCTATTAGAAATAGAAAAAAATTACAAAATTTACTAGATTCCATTTCATCTTCTTCTGGATCAATTATAGATGCAAGTGCTTTATGTTTGCTCCACCAACGAGTTTCACCAATTTTTTGAATGCGATACAATTTTGCATGTGCTTTATGTCGTTCACCTGTAATTTATAAAATGTAAATTACTTAGACAAAATATAAATATAACTAATAAAATATATTTTACCAGTTTGTTCTTTCCAAATGTTCATTCGTTTGTGGGAATTAGATAAAAATACAGCAGTTTCTTCAACTAAACCGTACACATTTTCAGATATTGAGCAATTTTCTGATGAGTCTGTAATAACCAAATTAAGCACATGGGCCAAACAATGTGTGTAAATTAAATCAGGGTTGTCTTTTGATATATGTGCTTTAAGTCCGTTGTAGGCGCCTTTCATGTTAGCAGCACCATCAAAGGAACAACCTACAATTTGGGTCATTGATATTCCACATTTTTCAAAATTTTGTTTTAGTAAATCATATAACGCTTTTCCACTTGAATCTTTAACAACAACTAGTTTTAAAAGTCGTTCAAATATATTTCCTTCAATAATATATCGAACAACTATAGCCAATTGATCCATAACCGCTACGTCTTGAGTACTGTCTACCATCACACTAATTATTGAGCTTTCTTTTATTTCATTTAAAATAATATTTTGAAGAGAATTTCCAATTATAATAATTAATTTATTAACAATCGATTTTGACATGAAAGTAATTAGCGAACCTCTTCCACGATTCTGCTTATTTTTATCACTTTTCAAAATGCACAGATTCAAATGTACACGTAATACACTGTCGTAATCAGCAAGTAATAAAACTAATTCTAAAAAACTACCATGGTTTCCTTTTTTATTCAATAAATGGGCACCTTCTTCTTTACCTCTGAATGGTAAACCTTGACGCCCAATAAAAATAATTATATCTATAAGCCTTTTAAGGACCAATCTTCGTTGCTCTATTTCCTTCAAACGTTTAAATGTCAAATCGCGGTCAATTAATGAGCCGATATCTTTGCTCATGGCACATTGAAGGGCAGCTGATATTGCTTATTGATGGGTTTTTGAATTTTCATGTTCTTCAGCAGCTTTATAAACATGTTTTGCCTTAACTGTATAACCATTAACAAATGGAGAATCATTAGAAATTCTATCAGAAAACACCATACAACTAGCACAAAATATTTTATTTAATATAGAAGAATATGATATCCATTTTCTTAAAATCTTTTCTCCATTAGGAAGTGCACGGTAATACAGTTTACTTGGATTAAAAGGCATCTGTTTTCCATTGGATCCTAAAGGTTGTATGGGATGTCGTTCCAAAAATGCTTTTTTTGTTCCAATACTTTCCTTGCAGTCAAGTATGATAAAGTCAACATCATAATTCAGGTTGTTGTGTAAATCTAACTGTAGTTGTTGTCTCTTCTTATTGAAATCATTTTCACTGTCATCAAAGTTAAGCCCTTAAAAAAACACATTAAAATTAAAAACAAGAATATTAGAAAAAATTTAAGACTTATTAATCAATACAATTGAGGATTTACATTAAAATAGGTAAGTTAAAAACATAACTATAATTTGTAACTGTTAATATATTGTAGAAGTGTTGAACACATGATTTATAAGTTAAAACTAATGATTATTAGATAATAATAACTAGATATTGGGTATGATGTAGATCATAGGTTTTAGAATAAATAATTAATTAAGTCAACTTAATCTAAAACATATACCTACTTAAGCTTTTTTCATTGTATGTTACATCTTCTTTTTCGCAGATAGAATTTACATTTTCACCTTAATTATGAAACAATTCAAAATTTATAATTATTAATTAACAATAATACTTTCAAATTTTTTTTTATTAAGTATGTAATTATTTTGAATATAATTACCTAAATTTTTATCATTTTCTGTTAAATCTTCACAAATAGAATTTACATTTTCACCTAAAAATGTCCATAGTTTATCAGTTAGACTGAATTATAAAAATAATGGGGGTGAAGTGGCCGAGCGGACTAAGGCCGCGGTTGCGTCGCGCACCGTCGCCGGTTCGAATCTCGGTCACGGGCGGCGTCACTCTTCAGGCAGTCACGGTGTCTGGAGAGAGAAGCCGCCGCCCCCTACCCGGGCATGGCAGAAACCTACGGGTGCCCACTAAAAATTCTGCCAAACAGGCGTCCGAACTAGGCCTTCGGGCTTACTCCCGGACATAAGCGCCATATGCTAAAAAAAATTAAAAATAAAAATAATAATGATATAAAAAAGACTATTTAATAGATAGTTAAGCTTAAACTAGAGTAACTATTGTCTATTAAAAAATATAAATAGGTAATAATAATTTAGCTAAGTAGGTACTTTAAAAGTTTGAACTTACCACAGTGATTGCTAACAAAAAAGCTTTTAATTTTTTTATTGGTTTGTAATATATTTTGTTTCTCTTGCTGTTTTATTTTTCTCTTGGCAGCGCCACTGAGATGTTTTGGTTTCATGTTTTTATTTATATTAAGTTGCCCCACAGGCCACAACACACTTTAATGACTAACACTTTGGGCCATATGACCGTAACAATTAAAAATACCAATAACGGCAATAACTAATAAATAATAAGTACACGTTTCAACTTAATATTTTTTTTCCTTTTTTTTTTTATATATATATCATCATCTTAATATATATAAATCTCATGTCACAATGTTTGTCCTCAATGGACTCCTAAACCACTTAACCGATTCTGATGAAATTTTTACACCGCGTATAATTTGGTCCAACTTAAAAGACAGGATATAGGGTATGGACCTAACTCCTGTGAGTTAGAGATTTAGAGACAAAAACCGAGTTACACCGGTGGCACCCTCTAGCAGATAAAAATAAAATATAAATAATAATACAAAAATCGATAATAGCAGGGCTTGAAATCGATTAATATCGATAAAAATCGAAAAAAAAAATATATATATATATACCGAAAAAGTCTAACCTTAACAACGCGAGCAGCAAAGGGTCACGACGCAAACGTGTTGAAAGAGCTCAGCAATTACCAGAACAAAAGAAAACAAGAAATGCAGCTCAAAGAATTAGGACTGCAGAAAGTCGTGCACGAGAAACTCAAGAACAGCGTGACGAACGTCTGCAACAGAATATTACGAGAACAAGAGCGGCACGAGAACGAAACATAGCTACAGTACGAGAAAGAGATCGACAAAGGCAACGGATCAGCCGCTCATTAACACGTGCATCATTCGTTCGGCTTGCCTTTGAATATGCACCAGATATTAACTACTCAGCGCATTCAAAAATTGCTATCGGTAGAATGGATAAAGTATGTCAATATTGTCAGGCATTGAAATTTCGGAATGAAGCAGCCGACATGTGCTGCGCATCAGGAAAAGTTGTGCTGTCACCTATACCCGCTCCGCCGGAGCCTTTATTATCCCTTCTTACTGGCAATTCAGATGATTCCAAATTATTTTTGCGTAAGATACGCAAATTTAATTCTTGCTTCCAAATGACGTCATTTGGGGCAACTAAAATTTGCGATCGTGCATCCGATGGACGTAATTTACACCGTTCATACGACGCACTACAATATCCATTCATCGTCATGATTTAACTGCACGTGTGTTTAAACAAAAATTGAAATCCTAAATTGATTTTATTGTTAAATATGAAATTTTTGGTATCACACGTTGTTGGCTGAATACGATAGAGTGGCAAAAGCGAGGTTTGCCTCATGTCCACATTTTGGTTTGGCTTAAAGATAGAATCCGTCCTGAAGAAATCGATCAAATAATTTCAGCCAAAATTCCAGACCCATTAATTGATCAAGAATTATTTGATATTGTCACCAAACACATGATCCATGGACCATGCGGTGCTTTCAACATGACGTCACAGTGCATGGAAAATGGAAAATGTAAAAAAACTTCCCAAAGCCGCATACGAATGACACGATCACGGATATTGATGGTTATCCAATATATCGCCGCAGAAGTACTGAGAATGGTAGCCACACATTTACAATGCGACTGCCGAACTTTCCAAATCAAGTTGAGTTTGATAATCAGTGGGTGGTACCATACTCACCACTACTTTCAAAAATTTACAAAGCTGATATCAATGTTGAGCTTTGCAGTTCTGTTAAATCAATTAAGTATATTTGTAAATATGTAAACAAAGGCAGTGATTTGGCCATATTTTTTTAACTGAATTTTTTACATTGTGTCAAAAACCTGATGTTTATGGCCAATTCGCGAAGACATTGGTGTATGGTGATGTTCCACGTTATTTCACATGGAACAAATCCAGTAAAAAATGGGAGCCACGGAAACAAGAAAAACCACATCCTTCCATTACAGGCATATTCAAAGCTAAGAAATTGGGGAGACTTTACACGGTACATCCAAAGCAAAGTGAGTGCTTCTATTTACGTTTGTTATTGGTGAATGTTCCCGGACCAACGTCTTTTGAATTTCTACGAACAGTTAATGGTCGAGTATTCAATACATACCAGGATGCATGTCGTGAACTGCAATTGCTAAAAGACGATAACCATTGGGACTTAACGCTTGCTGATGCTGCGTTGACATCAACACCGAATAACATTCGTCAGTTGTTTGCAATTACTTTGACGACATGTTATCCCTCGCAAGCACAAACTTTGTGGGGAAAATATAAAAATTGTATGACAGAAGACATCTTGCACCGAATTAGACACATAAATCAAAGCCAAATTAGAGATTATACACCAGGGATGTACAATGAAGCATTGGTCTTGATCGAGGATTTATGTGTTCTTATTTCCAATTTACCACTTAATCATTATGGTATGCCATCACCTAATCGTCCAGCCACCGACTTAGTCAATACCGATTTACAACGAGAAAATCAATATGACCATGGAAGTTTAGCAACAATTATCATGAACAGTGAACCATTACTGACAGCAGAACAAAAAATTATTTATAATCGGATTATGCTGGCTGTTGCTGCTGAACAAGGCGGTTTTTTTTTCTTGGATGCACCCGGTGGAACCGGTAAGACATTTTTTAATATCGTTGATTCTTGCCAAAATACGGTCGCAACAAAAAATCGCATTAGCAGTAGCATCGTCAGGCATTGCCACACTTTTTCAATAATTGTACAAAAATTTTTATATTATTTTTATTTAACCTCCATTGAAAATTATTTTTTAAACAATGTCCATTTGTGGTTTAGATTTGGAAAATCCATGTTTTTCTCATGGGCAACTATATGTTGCGTGTTTACGTGTTGGGAAACCGTCGAATCTATTTGTGTTAGCTAAAGACAGGTTAACCAAAAACATTGTGCACCGGTTAGTGTTAAATTAAATTGAAATTGAAAGTATTTATAATTCAAAAAAATAGATATTAATGTTTAAAAGTTTAAGACTGTCTGCCTTGCCTATCTCATTCATGAGTTTAAGCGTCACATTTTATTTACTGTATTATACTGTAATATACTTATATTTTTATAAAATTAAATGGAAATAATAAATCTGATAAATTTTTATTTTGTACCTATTGATTTCTGCTTAATATCAAGTGTAAGAACATTTTAATTAATTGTGTTCAACGTACTTCCCCTTCAAATCTCAATCCAGTGAATTTGTATACCAACATCAACATTTTCGTCTTTGTTAGTAAATAATTTCATTGTACTAAAGGGTTATAGTAGTAGAAAGTCAAAAAAGGAGATCACCATATTTTTTTACAAATACCATCTGTGTGAAAAAGCATAGTGGACTCCGTGACTGATGTTCTCTTATTGTTCCTCTTAATGTAATATAACAAAAACTTTAGCCACAGCAACGCGTTAGGTCTGAGTCCATTTTCACTAGTTATATCGTGAAGGCTGTGGTTACCAATCGTTGATCTAAATATGTTCTCTTTCCCTAACTTGGCATTAAAGTCTCCTAGGACTATCCTAATTCTACTTCGTGGGATTTCATTTAGCGTGTGTTCCAAATTATCATAGAATTCGTCCTTCTCCTCTTGTGTTTTTTCTTCTGTGGGTGCATGCCCATTCACGAATGTAATATCGAAATAATGTGCTTAAGTATTTATGTACTGCAAAGCCTGTTCCAAATTGACGATGTTTATTACATTCGCCATAAAAGATCGTTTTTTGAATATCTAGAGTTCCGTTATCGTTCCACCTTATCTCTTGTAGGCCACCACTAGCCCATACCTCTCCGTCTCCTAATAAGCATTGTACTGCTCCAGGTTTAAAAGTGTGCGGATGTTCCATGTTCCAAAAGATAGCCATTTTCCATTTTCCTGTCTTATTTTCCAAAGCTCCACGTTCCGAGGCAAGTTTATTGATAGATCCTGAACAATATTGTTAAGCAGGGTTGTTATTCTGGGCTAAACCCCAAACTGGAGGACCAGACTACTCAACCAATTAAGTTAGAGTAGGAGAACAGTACCACCAATTAAAGTCAGTACAGTTCAGAGCTCGGGCTCCGTTGAAACCTGTCGCACTAGATAGTGTCTCTGGTAGGACTTATGAGCCATAGAAAAGAAATGCCAACGACCCTATATGATCTCTAGAACCTTAAATAATTGAAAAACGTTTAAACAATCGCTTTTTAAGAAAAATATTTAAATATAATTTGAACACACATATGGATAAAGTTATAGTTTTATAGGTATTATATTAATGTTTTATTATATAAAATGTCAACTTAAACGATTATAACATTTTTGCAAATATATTTAGACATTTTTATATAGAAATTAGAACTAGGTATTGAGAAAACATGTATTCAATTCCTAGCATTTAGTATTGAAATTTAATGCTCATATATTTTTATAAACTAAATAGTTTGTGTAGAATTTCGTAGATTTGACGGATTTGATAAAAATTGATCTTATTTTACAATAAATTATATTATATATAAGGAATAATTATTTTTATTTTTGTGTTACACGAAAAGTAGTAGACAAAAATGGGACCTATGGATCTGTAATCGTTCTTCTTCATTTAAATATCTAGTTTGTCCAAATTTGAACATAATTTAATGAAAAACTGCGTTTTATATATTTTGTTGTATAATAACTTACTTACGGGAACCTTGGTTTTAGGTTATTTTAGGCTATTTTTGTACAGAACAATGTATGAGGAACATTGTATTACATTTCAAAGATTTCTTTGAGCAATACGTAACTGAACGAAGTAATACCAA